GCGTCTTGTTCAGTCGACAAGAGGTAATTCATGGGAAAATCATTCAGAGGAAAATCTTTTAGTTCTATTTCTCGTTCTATTCAAATCTAATTTTCCATTCACTCAATTTATTGATGTAATCTGAATACAAGAATAAAAATATATTTGTGAGGATTTTCAGATGAAAGAAAAAAGAATATTACTAGATAAATTATGATCTCTTAGATAAATTAATTTTTTAAACAGCTGTAAAATTGGAATAATCTCACTTTATCAACTTTCCACCTTGTGAATTTTTTCTTGTTTCAGCATAAAAATATGGGACACGAGAGCGAGTCCTCAGTCCGCCTGCATGCTGACAGCCTCGGATGCCCACTCAGCAGACGTGAATGTCATTTCCTGGAACAGAAAAGAGTCTCGTTTCCTGGTATCCGGTGGTGATGATGGAGCAGTTAAAATCTGGGATTTGCGACAGTTCGGAGGTAATTCCAACGCAGCAATAGCGACATTCAAGCAGCACACAGCACCAGTTACGACTGTTGAATGGCATCCGGAGGAGGCGACTGTTTTTGCATCTGGTGGAGCTGACGATCAAATTGCCCAGTGGGATCTATCGGTAGAGATCGATCAGGAGGAAGAACCTGGGGACAAGGAACTCGCTGATCTACCTCCACAGCTGCTGTTCATTCATCAGGGACAATCAGACGTCAAAGAGTTGCACTGGCATCCGCAAATCCCCGGGGTTCTTATCTCCACTGCACATTCTGGATTCAACGTATTCAGAACAATCAGCGTTTGATGTATCAGATTGATTTCTGGTACTTCGATGGACACAATTTGTTAAATAATACCGTAATTATCTACAATAAAAATAAAGAGAGAAGATAATTAATAATTACCACGATTTCCTGAGTAATTTTAATGACAGCAAGTGCCTAATGGTGGGTCTACCATGGGGGCAATTCCATGGATTATGGATCATACCCATCTGACAGACAAGTCTCCTCATCTCCGAGGAATTCAGAGCCTTCCCAATCATGACAGCCCCTCGACACGCCCTGGATGCCAGCATGGATCGAACCCGACTAGGTCTTACGATATCCTGATCCTTCATACCCTCAGTACCCCCCTCTCTGATCAAGAAAATTAATTCCTCGAGGTCCTCCTCACCGAACTGCCAATTCCCACTGACAGGCATTCCTGTGAGATGGACTCGTTGTCCAGGGAGAGCCTCAGGATTTATCACCATCGTGAAACCATTCGCATCGAAGAACTCCTGATTCTCTGCAATAATTGTCTCATTCAGGGACGAGAAGTTGAGGGGCTTTGGTGCAATGAGCTTCTGAGTCTTGAGTCTCGTCTCCCTCGACAGCTTTTCGAATCGATACTTCTCGTCTGTCGCGTGCTGATCGATTATAAAAAGATCTCCTTCCAGCTGAGTAATTATGAAACCAAGATTAAATTGCCCAATAATTCTCATTTTCTCGAATGACTCAGTGGTCAATCCCTTCTGGAGCTCCCTCTCAGCATCAGAGCTCTTGGAATCCATCTCAGCTCTGTATTTTATCTCAAAATCATCTCTCCTCTTGTTTCTCCTTATTCTCTTCATCTCGACAGCAGATTTCACCGAATTCATGTCGATTTTCATATCGATATCTCGTAGCTTCTCCATTTTCACATCACTCTGACCTCTTTCTGCAGTCACTACCTGAATTTTCATGGCGTCCACTGGATCTTCCTCTGAATTTTCCACTGAGGAAGAGACCATTTTCTTCTTATTCGGTGGATTATTAATTGGCGATGGCAATGACCTCTTCAAGGAGCTCTGTATCTCATGAAGACTGAGACTCGTGTAATTCCCCTGCATTTTATTCCACTTTACCTGCAGACTCATCTTGACAGTCGCCAGGATGATCTTCTCCTGGGTGAGAAAGACAGTTCTCTTGTCGGGGGTGACATTGACGTCAGCTGTGTCCTGTGGCAGCTTGAGGTTCAAGTAAACGAAGGGATATTGTTTGTTGTTGTACTTGTGGTAGATGTGATTGATGAGTTTACTGATTTTTGTGAGAACACAGGGTCTGCCATTGATGTAGAAAAACTGGCGATTAGGTGAGGCACAGCCCATCCTGTGCTCGCAGCTGCTGGTGTAGAATTCCCAGGTGAAGGTCATAGAATTGTTATCAGAAAGATTGAAATCCTGGAGGACTGTCTCGTCAGGCTCTACCAGATCGACAGTATCAATTCCACTGAGGGATTTCTTCCCAAAGACTGTGGAGGCATTCTCCAGGACTCCATCTGCTCCAGTGGTCGACACCACTGTGTTCCCTGGTTTACCATCTTTACTGTTGGAGCAGGTGATCTTTATACCCCTGGACACCAGGCAGTAGCCGTACAACACCTGGAGGGCTTTGGTGAATTCTTTTTTTATGTTCCTCTGGAACTCCTTCGCCCTAACTGGCAAACTCTTGAAGATGTTCCTCACTGAGACTGTCGTTCCCACCTCTCGTGCACACCTCTCCTGTTTCACAAGCTTTCCATTTTTATCGAAATGCAGCTTGAAGCCGTGGGACACTGAGGAATGTCTCGTGGTTATGCTGAGGTCTGAAAGGGAGCAGAGGGAACTCAGGGCCTCACCACGAAAACCGAACGTCGAGATCTCGAAGATGTCCGAGAAATCTCGCAACTTCGACGTGTGATGCTTCAGACCTGGGGACAGGAAACCAATAAATTTTGGAGGGGACAGACTGAGGTTTGTAAAATCATTTAAATCATCGGGGGGATACCCAGTCCTTCAAAGTCAGTCTCCAGTACTCCGGATCCATTATCACTGACTGTAATACATGTCTGTCCATAATCCACTAGTTTGATATCGACGTATGTCGCCCCACTATCAAGACTGTTCTCCACGAGTTCTTTTATCGCGACAGCCAAGTCCAAGACGACCTGATAAAAAAAATCGAGAGAATTCTGTAAAGCAGTGGAAAGCTGGTAGAAGTGCATTTTTTTTCGAGGCCATTCTTCAGCTGATATCTCCCGATCCAAGAAAGATAGCCAAATTTTTGAAAATAGATTTTCTCAGGAGAAAAGTGAGGGCTACAAAAAAGGTATCTATGAAAATTTCACTATTTTCCTTCATTTTTAAAATATCCGGTGAAGACCTGGTATCGAAAAAAATAACCTCACCTGTCCTGAGCAGATTTGATGAACTGCCTCTTTGCTGATGACGTTAATCTTCTTCGAGAGCTCAGAAGTTGCCACCGGCTCCGAGTGATCTTCCATGATTATTAAATCGAATTTGATAATTGATAAAAATGCGTTTTCTTTACGTAAATTGTCAACGCCGATTTTAAAACCTCAATGACGGTCTGAGAAAGGGCTGACCGATAAAATAATTATTTCTTGCAATATTATCTCTATTATCCCTCCTATTTCATTATTATAATACTCGATATTAATTTTAATCGGCATCAGTACTTACTCTTGTAAAAATTTGTTTCTAATGATAATTAATCAGGCATTAGGTCTACCTCATTTGAATCTGCGGCGGGAATGCTCCGGATGTCGTTCGTTATTTTTGTAATGTTTTTTTTTGTGAGCCACTGATTTCCCCTATAATTCTGCTCATAACCTCGCGACGAGAACCCCTCGATATTTTCATCAACAATAATTGTTTAAATCTTGTCAATTACTCTGGAACTCAGGTACAGCCCCAAAAGTTAATTGTCACTATTTTTTTTTGCCTTTTTTCAGCTTTTTCACATAATTCTCAACTTCTCCATCACTTGCTCCACAAAAAATTATTGTAAACCATTCGTTATTCGCAGATTAAATAAATAAAATACCAGGATGAAAGGATTATTTATGTTTCGTGGATTTCACACGTCGACGATTCAGAATGAAATCAGAAAATTATCTCGATTGAGAGTTGTTGATAACAGTGAAATTGGAAAGCAGGCGATGCTTGAAGGAAAGCCCCCCAAATGCATCCATATTTATAATAAAAGGGGATTCGGTTTAATTGGTGAGTGATTATCGAAATTAAAATATTGGAATGTCATTTAACACTTGATAATTTATCCAATAATTTTTTCATTATCCATTTTTCATTTAAATAACGAAAAAGTAATGGGTGACAAGTCGATTTACTCTCCAGCCGAGTTTTCCGGAGATATTTCGGAATCTACAGGAGATACCAAAATTTTTAATGATATCTTTTTTGTACCTCTCGACTTCCTCTACAAAATAGGTTCTACGAAAAAACTCGCTATCTCTGTTATTTCCCGAGGTATACCTTAAAAATGAGGAAGTTCATTCTGTAATATTGGATTTTCCAGGGGATCGAGTCCTGGTGGCGATCAAGGGTGAGAAGAAGAAAGGAATTCTCGTGGGTCTGAAGCAGAAGCAGTCCCCCAAGGTCCCCAGGTTCGACAGCAACAACATCGTCCTCATAGACGACACCGGTACACCCCTGGGCACGAGAATTCACGTGCCAATTCCCCACATTCTACGAACCATGATGAAGGAAAAAACACACTCCAAGGGTGCAGACTACACTAAACTGATAGCAATAGCCTCGAGATTTGTATAAAAATAAATGGATATTAAATATTATCGTAATCTTAGTAATCAAAAATTTGTCTTTAGGTGATTTTCATCAGTTGAAAATGAAGAGTCAGAGAATTTTGGACATTAATATTTTTATTATTGAACAATTCATCTTTCTCCTCGAAACTGATTCATAAACAAGTCCCATCGCAATCTGCATAATGAAAAATTAATGGGAACAGGATTTAGCAATTTTTAGTTCTCAACACGTGATCTCTACTTTCTTTGGTTGTTCATCGTCATTTAAAAATATGGATTCAGTCCATTCATAACACTCGAGCCTCAACACAACAATCTGACAAATGGAAAGTACATTAGAGGAGTCTACACGAGACTAGAGTATAAAACATCCCCCACAAGCACTACAGGTAAATTCAGTAATGAAATCCTCAAGGGTAACAAATCGATCCAATAGTTCCGTCAGTTTTCGTAGAATATCTCTGAATCTAACAGAAACATCGAAACTGTCGTGAGAATACTTTTTAAAGCTCTCGTCGCACTTTACAAAAAAGATTCCCATGCTAATTTCGATAGCTCTGTTGAATCCAGAGATATGCTCCAAAATAGAAACGAAAACCATTTGTTACCATTTATAATTTTATTATTGAATTGACATTATAAACATTTACTGCTCCCAATTCGCTAATTCAGATGAAATGGGGTGTTAGAAATATGAAAACAGGCAATATACATCGTCGCTGCTGGCAAAATCACTGAAAATTTCTCGTAAAAAAATCTAAATGACGTGCAAAATTAAGAAGAGAGTAATAAAAAATTCAGTGTGTAGACTCAATGCTGTTTTATTACCGTTAATTATCAGATGACATGTAGCCGGAACAAAAAATTAATCAATCAGTGATTCATTCAGAGTCAATCACTTTTATTTCAATGTCTCATGCTGCCCAACGATTCATCATCATTAAAAAATATCGCAATGATTTATCCAGACTTCTCTCCCCGTTCTCTCCTCAAAATGATGACGATGTAAAAATTGGTGAAAAAAACAAATTTAATTGCTGAATTTTTGATCATGAACTCGAAATGAACATTAAGAGTAATGAATTCACTGTTTAAAAATATTTATCAATTTTTCGATCAATTTTACATAATTTATCAATGAAAAAGTGAAAAGGATTGAATTTTGAGAAAAAATGAAAATTAATTAGCAAAATGATAATTGAAAAATTCAAACAAGATCTGTCGATTATCGTGGAATAATTCATCATAATTTTCACGTTCTTTTCTTTTTTTTACAAATTTAGAATTGTGAAACTGTCACACGTACATTAAGAAGCAAAAAATCCATAAAAATTTTTAACAGTGCACAATCCCCTCGTCTTTCCCCAGGACAATTATTGGAATCAGTCACCAGCAACGACCAGAGTATATATATCTTTTTACAGTACAAAATACATCTCCTCGCTCGTCCCTGTGTACACATATGTATATACACGTGCAACAGACATATACACATATCCAGTAACGAGGTATGTTTCAATAAACGCGTGAGGATACGAAAAAAAAATGCCAAAAAAGAGAGAAAAAATGCGAGGAAAAAAAAATAAAGTAAAGTAAAAAAAAAAGTAAACGAAAAGCTGATTACAAAATTTTTAGGCGCTCTTTCATTATTCAGAACATGGACAATTTCATTTCAAGTTCTCACACGATTTCAAGACTAATACGAATTTTTAAAAGAAAATCACACTCTTTCCATAACTCGTATCATGAATTTACAATTTTACTCTCGTTAAGAATCGAAGTAAATAAAAAGAGAAATAATAATAATGAAACATTGAGTGATAATTATGAATAATCCCCACGCCATTGCACGAGTGATCATCATCATTACAAAATCCTCATTAATTTCTATTCCATTATTCTCCGATTACATCTAAGATCTATTATTCTCACACATCAAATCTTTACTCAATCGATCTATCAACTCCCCCCCGGGTTCTTCCCCCATTAACGTTGGTTTTTTTTATTTTGGATTTTTAAAATCGAAATATTGGGACAGTTCGTTAAGGATAAAGAGATACAAGATGCGTGGATACCGCAGGTAGTTTGAAATTTATTATTAAATACGCTATCAACCAGCGTTTCCACAATCATTTGTTTTAATCATTAATTATTATTATATTATTACTAGTTACTAGTTGCGATTTCTTCCTAACGGGAGAGTTAAAGAAAAGAAGCCTAGGAGCGCTGTTTCATTGAATTCAGTCTTCATTTCCTAAAAAAAAAACCCACTGCTCTATTATTACTGTTTATCCCCATTACAAATTCTGTTCCAAATGCACGAGAAGTTGGAGAAATAGCCACTTCTATTTCTTTTTTGTTTTCTTTCGAAAGAAAAAATAAAATATATTACCAATATTTATTATTCGAATGACGAATAAAATTTATCCAGACACCATCGTTTATTCTTCATACCAGATGATTGATCCATCATAAAAAAAAACTCCTTAAATTCATCATGAAAACATGATCCATACATCTTGCATCGTTTTTTCAACGAATAAAATTATGCAAGTATATCTTCACCAATAATTAATTAAATTGGATAATGGGGTGGGGAAGGGGTAGGGGGATGAGGACTGGTAGCATAATTCTAACGTCAATATGAAAATCCAGTGTGTTTTTTTTTCTTTCATCACTTCTTCATTTTCCTTTCCTTTAATAATTATTACACAACATCGTTATTCATGTTTCTTGTCTTGGTTAAATGTATGGGATCTTCATTATTTATCAGAACCAATTGTATCGCTCGTCGCGTACCTCGAATTCGTACAAACCAAATTCATCTCAAAAAAAAAAAAATGTTATAATCTAGTAAATGAAAACGTGTTGATTTGTGCTTGGGTACGCACATTGTGAGTGGTATTAACAGGGAATAAAAACGCCAAGACAAATAAAGAAAAAGAGAATTGATAGGAAACCAAAAGTGTCATTTGGTCGTCAAAGCCAGGGGTTGAGGGGGAGGAAAAATGATTGAGGATCGCAGGATATACCGGGAGGAGAAATTAAGGTGGAAAAATAAATGTGGAGAGATGGGGACGTCGTAGGGTATAGGAACTCCCACTGAAGCGATCAAAAAGAAAAATAATAATCAAACGCAATCATTTCGAGCCATTCCATTCTATTTGTCATCATTCCATTGAATTAACTTGTGTTTTTTTTTTGGATACCCTTTAGTGGTTCATGTTTTATTATTATACCGTATAAATACGCTTCAAGACCCCGATTGGACGTCCGCACATCCCTATCTAGCAAAAAAAAAATTTGTTTTCTTCCATTCTCTTTTTTTTTTCTTGTCCAGTAGTCGGTGTGCACCATTGCCTAAAAAACCCAGCTTATCGCGTAAATTTTAATCAGCGATTGGCACATATTGACGTACATTTTCTACTTCCTGTCGTCCTGATCGCACTCACGACTTATGTGACCACTTTTGCCACATACGTAGCAAATTTTACCACCAGTCTCGGTGCAATTGCGGGCAATGTGACCGGTTTTGTTGCAATTGTAGCAACTTTGGAGGGCAAAACGACCGCTGTCGTTGCCACCCTCTGGGCAACTACGAGCAATATGACCGGTTTTGTTGCAGTTGTAACAGCTCATCTCGGGTCCCTTTAATTCGAAAATTATCATCATTATTTATCATGATTTTTGTCATAGAGAATCGAGAAATTAAAAGAAAAAACCTTCAGAGGAATTCTATTTTTAGTTTTGTTTCAATTCACTTTTCCCATTAGTACTGAACTACTTTTATTGCCTTTTCAAGCGATGAAGGCAGAATGGGGCAAAGGGATCAGTTTAAATAAAAAACAAGATTAATTAACGTAATTTGACTCATTCCCCCCATTTGTTTTTTTTAATTAAATTTTCCTCATTGCGAAAAAGACTAAAAGACTGATTTCATCGAAATTGCGAACAAAATTTCCTCTTCAATGCTTCTTGCATGGAAACATTTAAATTAATAAATAAAATGTTCACAAGCTCAATAAAATTATTCAAATTTGATTTTTATAATTATAAAACAGCCCATATGCGTTTTGCAAATATCTAAATAATTAATTCACATTTTCTTACATTTCTTAATTGCTGTACGCAATTTTTAATTCTCTAAAAATAATTTCTGAACGTGTCGGGTTCAATCTAATAATTTTCTTTGTTTTTTGTAATTGAAAATATTGAGTATTTGAATCTAAAGTCTGTTGATTCAACCACTTGATGACTGCCGAGTGGGGTTGAACGGTGGAAAAATCAATAATGAGGATAAAATGATTTTCACCTGCTGGCAGTCTTTTGCAATGTGTCCAACTCCGTTGCAACGGTAGCACAAGTCCTGATCCTCTTTGCACTCACGTGCAAAGTGTCCAAACTGGTTGCACTTGAAGCACTTCTCGCGGCCTCTGCCGAAACCATCGCGATCCCCACGTCCACGATCGCTACGTCCACCACCAGCTGCACCCTGGGGGCACTCACGTGCAAAGTGGCCCATTCGGTTGCATTTGTAACAAGCGTTCGAACTCATGGTTTATCTGGAAAATTCAATACAAATCAGCATCAATTATCACTCCACAATATTATCACTTTCCCCCAACACCAGAGTCCAAATATAAAAAAATTATACAACCAATAATTTCATATATTTAAATTAATTACAAAAATAATTAATTCTCATTTTATCATCCACAAAAGATGGCCCGAGTCATAAGAAATATTGAATCAAATGCAAAAATTCAATCTAAAAAAAAATGCCAAAAAAATGCAATTCTATTTTATTTACAATTTTCCCAAATTATCGATATATCTCGAAAACTATCGATTTCCGGTGAAAACACAAGAGGACTTTTCAACGGGCTAGAAAATTTTCCAGAAAAGCGGCTCACACAGGTTTCCCCGAAAAATCCAACCTCTCCTCGATAAACGAATCACAAAACAACACCAAAATTCGACAAATCTCCCAACACCACGGTAACTGATTTCTACCGAAAAGAACGAAACGTAGAAGAAAATGGCATCTTGCACCGAACACGAGGGGAGGGGGGTATGGAGGGTACACGTGTTTCGGCGCGTCCTCGAAGTTTATCCGCTCGAAAAATCCCGAAAACCGCGGATAAAACGACAGCCTAAAAAACCACCCAGAAGACCAAAAAAGAGAAAAAAAAAATTCACCTGAAACAATTCCAAGCCATACCCAAACAACAAAAACCACATGAAACAATAAAATATCCAGACAACGTGGCTTGCGCCCCCTCTTTCGCGAAATAAGCATGCAATGGCGCGGAAGATGGCATTCTAGAGGGACGCCGCTAACAAGGCAGTCCATTTTCTTATCACAATTCCCCCAATATGTGTCCTCCCCCTGCACCCGGGTATATCCCCTCGTCGGTTGGGCGAGGAAAAAAAAAAACCATGGGTGAAAAGGAAAAAAAAATGCCGGAGATGCCCAAGTGCGTGGTAGAGAGCCACAACGATAAAGTGAAAAAAACTCCAAATACCCCCGAAAGGACTGAATAAAAATCGAGGGGATGCAGTCCACCAGGTCCCAGTAGACGTTCCCGACGGAGAAACCCCCGGATTAACGACGAATTCAGGGGTAATGGATACCCCGACCACGTGTAGGGTTTCACAAAATGAGAGAGCGGCACCTCCGGCTCCGCATGGAATACCGCGCGCTCCCAGTACTTTCACCTCAAAAAAACGTAATCGACACATGATTAAATTTGCACATTGAATTGAAACGGTTGCAACCCCCTACCTACCACCGATGGCGATGTGATGGCTAAACCCCCGGGAATAATGGGAATAATGGGGGAAAAAAAAAGGAAAAAAAAAAAATTCTCACCTCCTCGATTGCCACGGGATAATCCAATAAATCAGGCGATGTCCTTTGGCTCACCACAGGTATTACCGCGGGGGAATTAATGTATTTCGATAACTCGGGGATTGTACGCGGATTATCAACGTGAAATAATCTTTCACGAGTTAAACGATGCTTTGAGGGTCCAGACGTCTGTATGCAACCATCGGCTATACAGGGGAGAGCAAGAACTGAAGGACCAATCGGCTCAATGCTGCCCGCCAAACACCACTCGATTTATTCAGTGAACGCCACCCCTGCATCCCCTCCAACACAACTGCAGGAGTCAATAATAAAATTAAATAAATAATTCAATAAACCATCAATGTTTCATGCATACCCCATTGCAATTACAATAATTCGACACTGACATTTCCCCTGAAGAGCTGTATTATCGAGGAAGATGTTGACGTTTTGAGGGTGTCCAACATCTTCATTGGCGCCAGTTTGATTTTTTCGAGATTGTCATTGGTCTGTTGAAAAAGCCGGCTGCGTTGAGACGTGTGCAATTACTTATTACGTCGCTCCCCAAGCCGATGAATTTTTTTTGTCTTTGGGAGAGGCGGGGGTGTGGGCTGAGGTCGTAAATTTTTCGGGGGTGGAAATTTTGGAAAATGCCCACTTTTCGAGGGGTGGTTCTCAGCCGTTTTTTCTCATTGGGTTTCACGGCTTTTTGGGGGGGAACTGGGAAAATGGCCGGACCGGATGTCCGGTGGTTTTGACGCGTGTGGAAATTTGACTTTAGGGAGTTATTCGCGCGGATTCGTCGGGCTTCGGGTGCCGCGTAATGGCGGGGCTTCGGCGGTCGCGGACGGCGGGGATATTTGAATTTTGGAGTGGATCGGGTCATGACATTTTGAGAGAAGATTAATGGGATTTTAAGAATATTTTTGAATGCGTAAATAAAATATTAATTGAGATATATTATCTATATATTTATGATATATAAATTCATGTACTTAATTGTCATTTAATGGAATATATCAGAATTATTGAGTTGATTATTTCCGGTTATAATCTAATTTTATTTCCACATATTAATTAAATAAATATTCACAATTAAACACTCGTGTATAATCACATTAAATATCTGGATTGTTGAATTAATTTTTAATTGTTAAATAATGAAAATAAAATTTGGAGCACAAATAAAAACTCACCTTAAAACGAGTTTCCCATTGGGAGAAAAAGTTAACCAATGACTGGAGCAAATGGCGATGCCTGCAGCTGCTAATTTTTGGAGAAAGAGGATTGAAAGATGAGAGATGTTTGTTGATGCTTTGATATTTTGAATTTGGAATCTCCAATTGTGAAAATGTCAGGAGAAAAGAGGGAAATCGAGGGAGATGAAAATGATTGTGAATGGGTTGGTCCCAAACTTGCCGAAGCAGCGCCCGCCAAAAAACAAAAAGGTATTAAAAATTTGACGGAATATTTAACCCGAGAAAAATAAAAAATGTCAAACGATTAATTTACCACTAATTTAATGAGCCACAAAAAAGTTTTTAATTGTCTTTCACCTCAAACCGATAGTCTTCGAGATAATTTGATAATAAAAATGACATTTAATGCTATAAAAAAATAAAAAATATGAATTGTTGTTTCAGTTCTCGAGTATGAGAAGGTTTACGTCGACAATTTGCCGTGCTGCGAGTGCTACGAGAAATCATACATGCACAGAGACGTTATCAGCCACATAGTTGTGACAAAGACAAATTTTGTGATAACAGCCAGCACTGATGGCCACGTCAAATTCTGGAAGAAACAGGACGAGTTGATTGAATTCGTGAAGCATTTTAGGGCTCATATTATGTCGATACAGGGACTGGCTGCGAGTTACAATGGAGTTTATGCAGCCACAATAAGCCTGGATAAAACTCTCAAGATCTTCGATGTCGTTAATTTCGACATGATCAACATGATGAAATTCGAATACACTCCAGGCTGCGTCGAGTGGATCTACACGTCTGGTGACGCGATATTTGCGATTGCCATTTCTGACAGAGACTCTCCAAATATTTATGTCTACGATGGACAGGCCACAGAGAGAGCTCTCCACGTATTCCAGGATCTCCATAAAAAGCCTGTCGTTGTAATGAAGTACAATCCAGTCTTCGAAACATGCATAACGATCGATGAGTCCGGGTTCCTGGAGTACTGGACAGGACCGAAATCGGAGTATCAGTTCCCCAGGTGTGTCTCCTTCGAGTCGAAGCTAGACACAAATCTCTACGAATTTGCAAAAAATAAAACGCACCTGTGCTGCCTTGCGATATCCCCAGATGGAAAAAGATTTGCGTCACTCAGCAGTGATCGAAAGGTTCGGGTCTTCAATTTTTTAACTGGAAAATTGTACAGAGTCTTTGACGAGTCGTTGCCGAGATTTTCAGAGCTCCAGCAAACAACACAACAGCTGCCCAACATGGAGTTTGGTAGAAGAATGGCAGTGGAAAGGGATCTGGACAAAACAGATACAAATCTGGGGAATATAATTTTCGATGAGTCCGGGTATATAATTATGTATAGTACAATGTTAGGGATTAAATTGGTGAATTTGTATACCAGTCGGTGCATTCGAATATTGGGAAAGCCTGAGAATATTCGTCCGATGCAGCTGGCCCTGTTCCAGGGAAAAGCCCGGAAGACAGCATCAGTGACGGTGGAAATGGAAGCATCGGAGAATCCCACCCTGGAGCTGAACAAGCCAGATCCCACGCTCTTCTGCACGGCTCACAAGAAGAACAGATTCTTCATGTTCACGAGACGTGAGCCTGAGGATTCCAAGGGCTCGGAGTGCGACAGGGACGTCTTCAACGAGAAACCCTCGAAGGAGGACATAATCTCGTCGACAGATGCCACCAATATGCAGAAGATTTACGACACAGCTGTCATTCACACTGCCCTCGGGGATATCCACGTCAGCCTCTTTGGGAAAGATGTCCCCAAGACTGTGGAGAATTTCTGCGTTCACGCCAAGAATGGCTACTACAACAGCCACATCTTTCACAGGGTAATCAAAGGCTTCATGATACAGACTGGAGATCCCACTGGTACTGGCACTGGCGGTGAGAGCATATGGGGAGGAGAATTCGAGGATGAGTTCAGGTCACATCTCAAACATGACAGACCTTACACTCTCAGTATGGCTAATGCCGGAGCTAATACTAATGGAAGTCAATTTTTTATTACTCTTACTCCAACGGTAAGCATTTGTTTGCATTTGATTGAATATCTTTTAAATTAATTGCAGTCATTGATAATTAATTTGATATGTTTTAGCCATGGCTGGACAACAAACACACTGTCTTTGGTCGTGTAGTCAAGGGAATGGAAGTTGTACAGAATATAAGTCAAGTGAAAACAAATCCCAAGACGGATAAACCGTATGATGATATCAGGATAGTGAGTGTATCGGTTAAATAAATATATTTTTTTTTACAATAAATATTCATTGATTCACTCTAGGAGGAAGTATCACAATTATTATAGTGATCATTTTTTTGACTGTCAGTCTTTCGGTGAAACTGGGGCATTTGCCATCTGATATGTCAGACCTCTGTAGAAATTGTAGGCTGCAGTCATGGACACGAAACCATTCACGCTGAAGAGATTCCAATTTTTCGGGACTATCACTAGAGAATATCTGTAATATATTTTCAATAATCCATCAATTATAGGTGGAAACTAATTGGAGGAGAATTCACAGTTGAAAGAAAACGTTAGGAAATTTTCACGGGATTTTTATCAGTCTTATTTGTTGGAGGATTTTTTAACCTGGACCATATGATACCAGTGAGCATGAGACTCGCAGTTTGGGCCAGAGAAATTGTCTCGGGGGCTCGATTGATGTCTCCAATTCCTGCCAGCACTAGACCCCATTTGAAGGTCGGGGCCCAGAAGAAAACTGTTGTTGGTCCTAGATTACAAAATAATTTTTCAAATCGAAATCAAATCAAATTTCTATAAACTGATTATCTCAAATTACTCGAATAGACTAGGCCAATATGAGGAAGGAAAATATGAAATTTCTTAAACACTTGAATCTTCGAAAAATTCAATTAAAGTAATCAATACAATTACAATAATTCAAACATATCAATCACTCAATAATAATTTATAATTATTGGGTAGAGTTTTTTTTTCGTGATTTTCTGTTGGAGAAAAATAATTAAGTGAAAAAATTTTTCGCTTCTTAAATAATTGAACTTTAATTACCCGCTGGGTGTAAAAACGTGGGTCGCACTTTTTCCGGGAGATACGACGCTATTCGCGTCATTACTTTCTGATAACGAGTCATGTTGGGTTTTTGGTCGGTCGATGTGGTCTGCAGATTGAATGAGATGTTCAGATTGAATGTGGCTTTACTTCCAGATGATAAAACTGAAGACCATTCATTTGTTCCGATGTCACTATTAATTTTCTACCATTCACAGTAAAAAAAAATTACCATTCACAATTTGTTTTTGCCTACATCGATAATTAATTTTTCAAACTCGAATTTATTCAACTTAATGTTAACGGCCTCATTTGCAAATAAAATAAATTCACACAGAATGTGGAAATTTTTAATCAACAAATCCCCAGGAAAATGGGGCTCTGATTTATAATGCAAAAGTAAAGAGCGACAGTAATAAAAAAAATTGCTTGCCTGAAGTTTTTTAATCTGGTCCTTTGAATCCCCTGTTATTGGAAATATCTTCTGGACTAGTGGCAGCATTAAAGTCAAGTTAAAAGTTGAATGGCTCTGAATGAGGCAGAGGAATTCTGGTGGAATGGATGATAGATACTGGATGTAAGAATGAGTAGGTCAAGGCGTAGGGTCAAGTGGACGAGAGACAAAAGCCACTTGGAAAACGATGACGTGCTCCCCTGAATGTGCATAATACCAAATGTATCAAGACAAAAGTTAATGGAGAACAGGATTCGCGGTCCAACAGGCCGTAATGTTCACTTTCGTTTATCATACACTGACAATAGCAATCCGGAGTAATGAAGAGTTTTATTAATGGATCTGTGGGTGAACATCCAGAGGAAGGGATGAAGAGATTATTCTAATTTCCAATCAGAGGGTGAATAGATTCTCGCAGCTTTTGGTTTTTCTCTTGAATCCCAGGAGATGCTTCAGGATTTTACGTCGCTGTTTGCTTCTTCTCCGTCTTGTCACTTGATCCCGTGCCCGTTGAGGATTTAGTTTTATCTGGGCTAGAACTCCCACCAGGAGCTCATCCACGTGGTGGGCAAGACCTGAGGATGTCTCGATGAATTTGCAGCCACAAGTGTTGGCGAGTCTTCTGCCCACTTATCATAAAAAGTGAAATTGGCTAATTAATTTATATTATTATTATTATATCAATTAATAATAATTGAAGACATGGAAAAATAAAAAATGATGGTGAAGTGATGGGGACGGGGTAATGGCAGAATTAATTCCACAACAACTGTTTCGTCGTCGTGTGGAAATAGATAAGAGAAATTGACTTACACATGGATGGAACCTCTCGTTTCCTCTCTAGATCAACTTTATTGCCGACGAGGATGACCCCGTGGGTGGCCATGTAGTCACCTTTCCAGAGATAAAGGAGTGTCTCTTCCGCGGTTTTGAGACTTCGTCTGTCCACCACGGAGTAGACAACCACGTACACGTCGGGATTGTACGTCGCGCAGAAACTTTCCACCTGGAAATTATTGGAGAGAATTATTCCTCCAGAGGATTCTCCATTCGATTTTTTATTGGGATTGGATAGCAATTTCCAATAAAAAATAGTCGATGAGTTTTTTATTTTAATTGATTTTTTATAAATTGAGAATTCCAAAAATTATTCGGTAATTATTATTGATAATAATTAATCATTATTATTAAACATTTTTGTTTTAAGGTGCGTGAGTCAGTGCGTCATTGTCTTTACATTAATTGGAGCAATTTCTGTCTCGAATTATTTTGTTTTTCCCACATTTAGAAATGAAATGATTTCTCCTCAATTACCACTCGCGTCATGTAGCAATTAACCACCCCTGAATTACCTGATTAGATCATTACGAAATGTCTAATTTTAGGTCAGAGATCCCACCTCCGGTTTATCGTATCTCCGATGACTTTCATAAAACCGGATAAGAGAATTATCTATATCCAATAACACCGAGGGCTTGAGTCATTGCTCGTGGATAAAGAGAATGATAAGATGCGACGCATTACGAGTAATCGAGTAATCAATTATGCACTGAGTCCCCAGGACATCGTACCCTGGGAAATTGCTCATGAATTTACAATCAACATTAACAATCCTGCGTTAATCCGATTTAATAATTAATATAAGATTTAATTAATTTATATCATCATCATTTTTATTTAATTTCATAAATATTCAGAGCATTTTAACTGGAAAAATGTAAATAATAATGACAGGAGCGATAATTTCCAGGAATTTTATGCGATGGAAAAGTTCGGGTTGAGATTTTGGAATTTTTAATCTTTTGGAAAATCACGGGAATTTAAGTTGTCATGCCTCGAGGGAAATTGAGATTAATTGAGGAATTCACGGGTTTATGTGAAATTAACTTTGATACTCACTGCCATCTCCGATGCCGGATGATCTATGATCTCTAGCTCAGTTTCCTGGCCGTCAATCATCACCGACACACTCTTCTGCCCGTATTCATCATCTGTCAGAAGAGAATATCAAAGGTTTAATTATTAAATTGGGTAAAAATTGGTTAGGAAAATTCCGGAAAATTGAATCGAATACAATTGAATTCCAAATTCCTAGGAATTCGGCCAGGAATTCCTGGAGTCCCGGAAAGGCAAGGAAAATCCGAGATTATTCGAACTCCTTGAAACGACTGGAAAATTCATTCTGGGAGATTCGGTGGAAATTTTTAACAGGGAATACCTAAGGGAATAGCTAAGCTATATATATATATATATATATAATTTAATGTAATATAATATACCATTTTAATAAGATAACGATTTGTGTGAGAAAAAAAAATATTGTATTTATATCGATATTAGTCCAAAAAAGATTGAATTTAATTGAGAGATAAAAATAGAATTGTTTTCATTAGGGCCAGATGGATATCTCCTATCGTGAAAGTTCCCGAGAAAACTCGTGAGTTCTGAATAGGGCAAACATTTCAGTGAATACCTCCTCAATTGTCATGCTTTCCTGATACTTTTTGGAAATTTCCAAATTTTACAATTCCAATGAATACCTCCTCGGCTTTCATGCGCCCCTGATACTTTTTGGAAAATTTCGAATTTTTC